CTTGATCATGTGTTTTTATATCTACATGATTACTAAATTTTAGACACTAATATTGAATTTGGCTTGCTGTATTAAAGAGAGAATGTTTACTACTTTATTGTATAGAATTCTGGGGAAAGGGTAAGTGGAAATATGGCTGAATTTGGATTGTGTAAAGGATATAGCTGACTTGTGACACTACCTGGCATTTGATAGTGTCTTTTAACTGGTTTACTTTATGTACTCTGCAACAATTGTGGTCCTGGATCCTTTATTTTCTCTTGCCACCATGAGACATTAAAGAAAATTTATATTTCACTTTAAGCTGGGAGTTTCTTCAACACATAATCCAAGTACAGACTCAAATTTATCTTGGTGTATTTTTTACTTGAGCTCTTATGCACATATGGAGAGAGATGTCTGTTTGGGCTGCTGCATCACAAATTTGGTTTTCTTTAATTTTTCATGTAATAGTAATGGGACATTATAATTTTTCAAAGCAATGCATTTCTTTTTTAAAAAAGATGACAAATACACGAATGCACTCAGTAATATATACCTGTGTCCCAGTATACTTTTCATCTGTGCACAATTTGTATATGCAACAAAAGTTGTGTTGTTATTTTACCTTTGCACTTTTTTATTTTATGGATAAATACTTGTGGCTACATTTTCCTTAAGACTGAAAAAGCATGCCAAAGGATTTCCTAGAAGAAGAATCATCTGCTTGTTCAACTTTGTTTATGGCACATTTAAGTCTAAGAATGTTTATTGCAGCAAGAAGCCGTCACCTAACATTTTAAAGTTAGTGTTTCCCATACTTGACCTGAGAGAGGGGGGAATAAAATGAGTCAAATTTATTTTGGTAAAGAAATCAGCTGATTAATATATGTCATATGGAGCCATAAATGTTTCAGATGTATTAGTGTGATCTTAACAATTAATTTGAAATAAAATGTTGCTTGTGGAGCTTAGTGCTGATAAGCCAAAAACATCCAAAGCCATGATGTATGGTAAATGATCTGTAAAACCATTACTTAAAGCTCTATTATTCTATATTTTGTATATAAAAAATGCTGAAATTTTTTTGGAGATGCTTTTGCTTTGAGTAAGGTTCCTGTTGCCTGTTGCTTTGGAAATATCTAGGAATAGATGCAGAGTTGTTCAATTAATGGAAGAGCTTTTTCTGTTCACAGATGGAATTCTAACAGATATTTGCACAGGAGGAAGCTAGGACAGCAACTTTTCAGGGGGCTGAAGAGAGGATGAAAATTGGTGAAGGATGGGAATATAGGAGTTTGCCATACACTGTTAGAAGAAATCAGTAGAATTCCTATTTAAAAAACCCCATTAAGTGTCCCAAGATAAACTGAAACATGGTTGATTTTGTGTTCCTTTATAACACAACACTGTGTGTGTGTATACCTAGCAGTGAGTTCAATGGGACTTCCTTGGGAGTAAATAGCTGCCTTACTTCCCCTCATGCAATGCTTCTTTAGCCACAGTCACCAGTTCTAATATTACTTTTGTTAGGCTGCAGGAAAGTTCCGAAGTTCTCAAAGAACAGCCTTGATCACATCTCAAAACTAGTTTGATGACTGAGAAGCCCAGCTGTGATTGACGTCTACTACAAGCTGACCCTGCTAAAAAGGACACACTGAGTGTTTGTTTCATATTGTTGGGAAACTGACAGATTGTTCTGAAATATAGTACCAGTGTCCCTGTTTATTTTTTAATCAGTCTTCTACCTGCTTGATTCTTGATGTTTGCAAACACCAAAGTGTCTCAGGTTTATGCTTTTGTATTTGCATAAGGTTTTTGAGAGTTCAGAGCACTTCATGTGTATAATCTTCTTGTAATCCTTAAATCTTGTGTGAGTATTATTACCTGCTAATACTGTCTCTGTACAAAGAGCAACTGTGAGATACTGCATGAGTGAGCTCAGGAGGCATTTTGTAAATGTTGAAATTCCTGCCAGGACCCTTAAGCGTTATTGCTTCTCTGGCAAGAATTATATTTTAAATGGCTCAATACGATTTCGGCGATGGATTTAGTGCAGTGCAAACACTCTGCAATGAAATGAAGCTGTAGTCTGGTTTTCTATGCAGTTAATCTTAGAAAGTGAGGTTGAATGAGATTCAGATTGGTATCAGAGGAGAAGAGAAACCAGAGAGGGGAGAACAGTAAGAGATGGAGGTGCAGGTTGACAGAAGGTGTGTGCATGCAAACCGTTATGGGCTGCTGCTTCTTTTACATGCATTCCTCCTCAAACCACCATCAAAACACAGATGACATGGACTGAACCAACATATCAGGAACTCGGCACTTTACAGAACCGTCATGGCACAACAACATGGTTTTTTTCAAGGGATTCCCCCACAAATTGATGCTTTTATGCCATGGAGTGCTGGGAATGTCAGATCGGAAATTTTTACTGCAAGTCACATTGCCTTTTCAAAGTTTCACATGTGCTCATGGGCCCCAAAAGCTTACACTACTTAAGCTCTCAATAATTCTCAACCATATATTATTATGTAATAACTCAATCCTATGCTTACATATGTCCCAATATGTTCAGTAGCTATTACTCTCAGGCAAGTGGGTTCAAGTATATTGCTTAGACAAGTTGCTAAATGTTTATTTTTAACAACTGAATCCATTAGATTCAACCTATTGTAAATTAAACTTTGGCTTAAAATGTACAGTAAAGCTGCTATTATAGGGTTGTATTCAACTAAGCTTAACTCAAGAGTAGACCCATTGAAAGTGATGACCCTAACTTAGTCATGTCCATTGATATCATGGGCCTACTCCATGCTGTATGTACACTGAATCCAACCCATAGTTTTTGATCACTAAGGTGGTGTTGGATGTTAATCAGTGCAAAAAAAGAAGGGAATATTTATTGTAAGGTATTGAGCTGATTTGAATGCTTTATTTTCTGATTTCTGTGTTGTCTCCACAATTTATCACATTCTGGCTGTTGACTGGAAGTGGTGGCAGACAAAGCTGAAGTTGGAGGGGGCAGAGAGCACAGCTGCCTAACTTCCTGTATTAATTTGTGCACAAGTCATGTGATTTGCCTTTTGCTGCAAGCTGGACTCAGCATGCTCTGGAAAGAGAAATGTCATGAAACAGTGTGTGGGCTATTAATGTTCAAAAACCTCTGGCTGGTGGAAAAAGCAACACAATGATAATGCTTTCTATATTAGAATAATCCCAAAGCCTGGCAGCGAGATTGAGAAAATAGACACAAATTTGTCATGAATCAGATGAGTTTGTTTTAATTTGTAATTTGAATTGAACAGATGAGGAAAAATTGCATGTGGTGGTAATATGAAGGGATTGAAGAATGTTTTTTAGTTCAGACAATCGTAGGTTTTTTTGTTTTCAAGGCAAGCTTCTAGTGTTTATACATATGACTTACAGTAAGTTCCAGACTATTCTGTGCCTGGTGAATCCGCAATCATGGCAGATTAAATTTCTAGTACCCATGAGCCTTGCATCATACCCATCACTCACTAGCAAAAATAGAATAATCCATACAAAATTTAGCATTCATACAGTGGTTTTTGGAAGCATTTCACTTACCTTATCTTGTAATTCTTTGGACAACCCTAGCAGGTAGGGTTGCCAGTTGTCAGATTATGGCCCCAAGATGAGGTTTTGGAGTTAATTCTCGGGGAACTGTCCCCTTGATGGCTTCTAAATGTGCAGGTATGCTAGACGAGCTAGTGGATTCCCCTGGCTGCAGTGTTGCTAACTTGCTGAACAGATAAGTGGGAGCATGCATTTTAAAAGTATCACAGTTCTGAAGAAATTTGCGTCTCTTCCGCCCAACTCTCTCCCCCATTTCTGTGAGCCTATACATCACTTAACTTCCTCACTTTCATGGCTGGTCCATGCACTCAGGCTCAACCCATGTGTTTGTTCTATTGTTGACTCTTCAGAACGGGTAACCTGGTAACATCACCAAGATCCATATCTGGAGTTGCAGACATTAGGGTGCTGGAGAATTGGTAACCCTTCAAGGGGCAGACTTGTATTACCCTCTGTTGAGCAGTTGTTTCAATTGTGGCAGGGTCCTTTGTGCTCATACTTTATAGAGCTCCTGGCCATAGCTCTGTGGTTGAGTGTTGACACAAAGTCCCAATTTCAACCCCTGCCATTTCTAGGTAGGACTGGGAAAATCTCCCAGTCTGCAACTCAGGAGAGCGACTGCCAGTCAGTGAAGATAATATTGAGCCAGATGGACCAATGCTGTGCTCGGTATATGGCAATTTCCTATATTCCTTGTTCTCTGGTGCCCACATTAACATTTCTCCAGAGTCAGGGGGAGACTTTTCTCTCTTCCCAAGCATTTCATTTATTTTGCATAGCTGCGGCTGCGATATAGCCTTTTCACCTAAGGATTTAACTGGTGATCACCATGCTTAACTGACGAAGAATCGCGTGAAATTTGTGCTTGCTGGGAGGGTTGCGAGTTTTGACTTGCTACCAGTCCATGAGTGTATACTAACTTGAAATGTTTCTGCTCTTGGCCTTTTGTTTTTGCTTGCAATCCATCATATTCGAACTGTGATTTTTTATAGAATTGTGGAGTTGGAAGGGACCCAACTCTGAGATTACGGTAAGAGCTTCATGCTCTCCCATGCCATCTTGTGCCTAAGAGTAATATTTTTTTAAAATTTATTATTATTATTATTATTATTATTATTATTATTATTATTATTATTATTATTATTATATAGATTGAAAGCTGTGCAGGGGAGAGACCTGCACCTCCTACCTGGCAAAGGGCGCGGCGCTCTTCGCCTCTCTCGCGCAGTTAGGGCAAGGAGCAGAAAAGTACTTTGCAGCTTTTGCGCTTTCGTTCGCGAGCTGCTTTTTGGCTGTTGCTGCTGCTTTTCTTTTTGTCGGCAAAAACAAATGTGACTGGGTGAGGGAGGGGGGAGGGAGGGGAGAGCCCGACGAGCGGTAGAAACGCCTTCCCCTTTAAACCCGCCCTCTGCTGCTCACTCGGAGAGCTCGCGCCTCCTCACTCGCACAACGGGCTCCTCGGGTGCTGCCGGCGCCGCGCCTCGCTTTCCGCGCGCGCCCAGCAGCCGCTTCTTGCGCGACGACGGCTGCGCGCCCCGACGCTCCTCGGCTCCCTTCGGCGCGGAGAGGAGAAGCCGGGCAAGGTGGCGAGGATGCTCCCCGCCGCCAAGCAGTTCGTCCGGGGCTGCAGGAGAAGGTGGCGAGCGCCTCAGCCCCTGGTGCTCCTCGCCGCTCCTCTGAGAAGGGAGAGCGGCGGCTTTCTCCCAGCGGACCGGCTGCAGGTGAGTAGCGGACACGGCTTGCCCCCCGGCGCAGGCGGCGACCCCGGCGCTCGCTGCTTCCTCCTCCTTTCTTGGCTCAGGCCTGAGGAAAGAAACTTCTTAGCGCACGCGCCACCCGCTCCTTCCTCGGCAGGGCGAGGCGGGCGCTTGCCCGGCTTTGGCCGTCTGTTGCTCCACAGCCTTCCTGCCTTGCTGGAACTTCGGCTGCCCGCGGGGACACGCCCGCGAGACGGCGAAGTATAAAGTTGCAGCTGGCTGTGGAGCTGGGCGGAGAAGAAGGGAAGGAGCCGCCCTCTTCCTCCTCCTCCGCCTTGGTCTCTGTCGTCTTGAGTTTCAGGCTGTAATCGTGTTTTCCGGCTTGGGGGAGAGGGAGGATGCTTACATTAATAGGGCGGGGTGGCGGGGTAGGGAAGGGTTCCCCCACCCAAAGTTTACTGTCACTGCTTTGGATTCCTTTTGCTGATCAGATCCATCTGCGTGCAAACTCAGGAGGAGGAGGAGGTCCCCAGGCCGACTCCAAAGAGAGGGAATATGTAAGCAAGTCCCATTTTTAAGTCCCACAAATAAGTGCTTTAAATTTGTTGTTAGGCTGGTTTTCTGAACTGGGAAGCGCGGGGTATAAATAATTTCTTTTGTTATTATTTAGAGCAAAAGCAAGAAGCCAGACACTTAAATGCTTGTTAACCTATGGTGTAAGCTTCCGCATGATTTACACATTCTGATCCTAGGTGTATTTAAAAGGTAAAGGTAAAGGTACCCCTGCCTGTACAGGCCAGTCTTGACAGACTCTGGGGTTGTGCGCCCATCTCACTCAAGAGGCCGGGGGCCAGCGCTGTCCGGAGACACTTCCGGGTCACGTGGCCAGCGTGACAAAGCTGCATCTGGCGAGCCAGCGCAGCACATGGAACGCCGTTTACCTTCCCGCTGGTAAGCGGTCCCTATTTATCTACTTGCACCCGGAGGTGCTTTCGAACTGCTAGGTTGGCAGGCGCTGGGACCGAGCAGCGGGAGCGCACCCCGCCACGGGGATTCGAACCGCCAACCTTTCGATCGGCAAGCCCTAGGCGCTGAGGCTTTTACCCACAGCGCCACCCGCGTCCCATGGGTGTATTTACATGGCAGTAAATCCTGCTGCGTTCAGTGATACTGTCTTCCTTGGAAATGCCTTTTTTTTTGGTAGACTTGAGTGCTGTGAACTGGGAATGTTTCTGCTGTCGGAGGAAGGTTACATGCATGCTCAGTCGTAAATAAGAGCCTATGTGTACATGCTGCGGGGGTTTTATTCTCTGAGTCGCCAGTGGGATTTCAGTCCTTAGGTATTAATAGCTCATTAATCACCCATTCACTAAAACCATTTTAAAGCACTAATGGCGTCCAGAGTCCTATCCTGCCTTGTTGGCATATGTGCACCTTGCAAAATGTCGGAGGAAGGCAACCTTATTACATTGACTGTGAACATTAAAGAAAGGCTGCAAAGTGCTAGCCTACCAGTGATATCTCAGAGTGCTCTTCTGTAATCCTAGAAGACTCAGTGTTAATCAGTCTCCTGCACAGTTGTGTTTCATTATTAGGAAGCCTGTGGGGATGGTCCCATAGGAGACACCAATTAGTTCAGCTAGCTGAAGCAGTGGTAGGTAGCTTCTTATTCTTTTCACCTTGCATGTCACTCTTTTTCATACCTTACATTACAGGTTGTCAAACAGGCTTCCTAGTGGTCTGTGCCTCAAGAGAGAAAGAGAAAAAGGTGTTGGTGCAACAAATAATATAGTATTAAATTAGTATGAAGTTAGTGCTTGCTACCCAGCCCCCAGCACCAGTATTACATAGAAATCTAAGGTATATATAGGTAATTGATACTCAGTGTGCTTTCCTTAAGATAAGAGTTTTGTGAATCGCGAAAGTTGCTGACAGATGTTTAGCCACCAGCTTTTTTATATCTGTGCAGCTAGTGGCTTTTCATTCCTTGCCAAACCTTTATACAGGAGTAAAGGATTTCTCTCTTTGGGAGCCTCTAGGCATATCTGAAACAAATGCATTTGGCAGGAGTTATTGCATTGTTCAGGGAAAACGGTGATGATAGGAGTCAGTTTCTTGTTGCTTGGAGGCAAAGTCTTCCCCTATGACAGGCAAAACAAAGAAGGTCTTCAAAATCCGGAGTTGAAAACCATGACCTCCCAGCACTTTTCTTCTTCTTAACTTGTCCTAGTTCTGAAAGGGTAATGAATCATCCATGGAAAGCGTTTTAAATAACACTTGATTTAGCACAGCTGCACGCTTTTTGAGTTGAGTCTGGCACGGAGACAATGTTGTTTGGAAAACAGAAAATTTGCATAGAAATGAATCCTGCAAATAAATATGCGCTTAATAAATCAGCAGGGTTTGGTAAACCTGTCATTTGCAAGTGCCTGCTTTTAGATACTGCAAAACGTTTGTCTTCATTAACATAATTTCTGGAACTTTTAGGGCACATATCCCTGTAACACAATCACTTATGGACAACGCAGTAGCAATGTAGACAAGCAGTTCTAATATTCCACCCCATCTCATTTTGTGTACTGTACAGTTAAGTGAATCATAACTATTCATTTATTACTTAATGTGTACCATGTGGCAAGGTTATCAGTAACTTCAGTTTTACTCCCTTGGAAAATGGAAGCTTGAACATCGTTTGGCATCGCTTCTAGTAAACACCTTTTCATAGATTTGTATTCAGAGACACTTGCTTAAAAATATGCTGTGGGAATGCCAAGGGGCCTTGACAGTGCAGGGTATAAATCTTTAAAGCAATAAAGTTCTTCATCAAGTGGTTGTATTGCTGCCTCCCATATTGAGGGCCTCTGAGATGACTATAAATCTGCTTCATTGTCTTGCAAGACAGATTATTTAAAAACGATCTGTAGTATTCCTATAGGGAAGATTATGTGCTTGGTTTGCAATAGTGTCCATAATATTGTGTCGAAGTGCATAGGGTATATAAAAAACTGCATGCATGAAAAATAAGATTGTGGTGGTTTTTTACTGTATATGCTGTAATTGAAAGTTAAAACTTAAAATTGTAAATAATAGCAAAATATAACCAACAGTTGCATTAATCCTCTGCCATGGTTAATGCTAGCAATCCACTTTTCTAATTTGACACAAACGTCTGCAGCAAATCCATTTTCAAACTATTATGCTAGATTTGGAACCATTAAATGTGCTATTACTGAGTTGCAAATGGGATTTGGAAAAACAGAACCTGTACTAGATCTAATATTCAACAAAGTGCTTCTGGTAGTGACATTGGCTGTTCAGTGGAACTCTTCCAACTTTTCTCTTTGTGCACCCTTAAATCTGTTCTGGGTGTTCCTCCAATCATCTGGAGCAGATTCAGGGGTGCCATGGGAAAAGAAGAGGGAGAATACATTCCTTTGTGTAGAAATCCTTGTGATACTGAAAGCATTTCGTTAGATACTGCCCTCGGTGGTTTTGCATTATGCCCAAAAGCACATGCATAAATTGACAATTACCTGTGTTTAACCTTTTGCTATTACTTTGGAAACAGTTGCTTAAATTTGATATCCAGCCCAAATTTTTGATTGCATAATCCTCCCTCTCCCTCAGCTTGGTGGAAGGGAGAGGTTTGGCTTAAATGGTTTGCCCAATGCCATGTAGTTTGCACAGCCTATGCTGATTCCACTGCTATTTCTTTTAGCCGGGTGTGTGTTGGGTAGATGGGGAAGATGTGGCAGAACAAGAAAGAAGTACAGAATCAAATACCAGGTGGAAGTGGATTGTATTGCATGAATCAATCAATTCATGAATCAATCAGACCCTCTTCCCTTTTGTGGATCTGCCCTGGCCCACTTTGCCTAAAATGGTAGATTTATATTACTTTCCTCCTACATAATCATTATTACTTTCAGCCCCTCTCAGGAAAGCTCCATGTGGAACTAGGAATTTTGAGGATTCAAAATTATTTTAAAACTAGAGCAAGGAAGCCTTCACAAGATCAAGTCCCAAATTCTTCTTCATTTTCCCTAAAGGTGTGTAATTAAAACACCAGCAGAACTTTCTGGGGAGAGCATTGCACAAATGGGGAGCTAATGCAGAAAAGGCCTGTTTCTCATGTTGCCACCCTCTGGACTTCTGTTGAGGAGGCATACGAAGAAGGGCCTCAGAGGATAATCTTAGGGTTAGGGTAGGTTCATATGGAGAGAGGCGGTCCTTGAGGTATTGCGGTCCTGAGCTTACCTCACATCATTGGTAGGGGCGTGGGTCCCCTAAAACGAGAAAGCAAGTTATAAGAACAGTGATGTTGTCAATTACCCAACCAATTCATCCTGATTCCTAAAGGGAACCTGACATGCAATTGCTTGGTGCACTTGCAAACATTTCTCTTAATCCTTAAACACAATAAAGCACATTTTTCAAAGGCATGTAAACCAGCTTGACGGCATTTCCTCTGTAGCTGAAACAGGAGAATGTCTAAGTCTAATGGGTAGTGGAACAGATTCCCAGACTTGCAGAGGCAAGGGAAAAAAATCCATAATACAGTATATATGGTGTGCCACTACAGAGGAAATAATAGGTGGTTCTCCCATTATCCCTAACCGTTGACGATACTTGGCTGGGGCTGATTGAATCCAACTTGTTTACTGCCAACAAACAACGATCTGGAGGTTTGAAGCCCTTCATTACAAATAAACCCAGGACTCTTCCTTAGTCAGATTTGTTTAGCTATTCTGTTGGGTAGTTACTAAGCTTCGAAAACATGAGGCAAGAAAAACAAAACAAACTTTGCAGATACGAGCTATGGCTTGTTTGTTCATCTGTGGGATAATTGGGGGTGAACTCATGGTTAAACCACAGAGTCTAGGGCTTGCCGATCAGAAGGTCAGCGGTTCGAATCCCCGCGACAGGGTGGGCTCCCGTTGCTTGGTCCCAGCTCCTGCCAACCTAGCAGTTCGAAAACACATGAGAGTGCAAGTAGATAAATAGGTACCGCTCCGGCGGGAAGGTAAACGGCGTTTCCGTGCGCTGCTCTGGTTCGCCAGAAGCGGTTTAGTCATGCTGGTGACATGACCTGGAAGCTGTATGCCAGCTCCCTTGGCCAGTAAAGCTAGAGAAGCGCCACAACCCCAGAGTCGTCTGTGACTGGACCTAACAGTCAAGGGTCCCTTTACCTTTACCATGGTTTGTTAAACCATATCTTAAGCAAACCATGACCCAGGGTTATGTGTGAACCAGGTCTTGAGACAGAGCAGTAAAAACAACAGCACCAGAAGATAGGCACAAGTAACGACAGTATTATTGAAGTGAAGAAATAAGTATAAAGCTGCAAGGAAATGAGCATTTGTGAAAGGTTGCTTAAGTCTTTGTTTTTTATATCAATGTTGTCTAAATATATAACACAAATGCTGCACAATGAGAGATCACATTTCTACTTCTAAGGGTTTTTTTTTTAAAAAAAGCAACCAACCAAATAACTGCGGTTGTGCTCAGAATCTTGACAATGGCCTTGGCTTTAATTCTCTTCTTCCACATTCTTTTC